GTAAAGGAGCGGAGCATATTTTGGACAGTTAAAGGATGAGCCTTTAAACGCCCGGAAAGTTATTTAAAATAAAACAAGTGATACAAGCAACATATTTTTTTAATAAGCGGAAGTGACGAATAAAAAAATCATCCTGGGTAATTAGCAGAGCGTGAAACAATCAAGAAAAAACCCGTTAAACAAATAAACAAACAAACAAATAGACAAACAAAAAACAAAGCAATCCAGAGGGAGCCATTCTACTGACCAACAGACCTGTTCAATATTGATTTGTGCCCCCCCCCCTAACTTCTTTATATAAAATGGCGTCTTCTCATTAATTTTACGCCACACAATGCAAAAACTGGCCCCCCGGGCGGACCTCCCCCTCATCTCTATGCAGAATATCCAGATAGATTTGCTTCAGCAGATCATGGGCAGAAAACTGCCACGAAAAAAAAAAAATAAATAAAAAACTTGTTCTAAAAAAAAAACAACCAACTCTCAATCCCGCAAAAACTGCTCTCTTAACTGTCGAGCGATTTAATATAGCTTAATATTTTTTCTCTTTTAAATGAGTGGAAATTGCCTTAAAGATTAGGGCAATTAAATGTGTGGAGTGTCTGGTGGGGGATAAAATCAATCCGCTCCTCAGACTCACCGCTGTCGTTCTCGAGATAACTCAAGCAGTCAACAGTTACATTCACATTTATCTGTAGCAAGTATACAGTGGTTGGTTTATCATACAACAATAGCCATTGATCCGGGAATTTAAAACATGTATTGAGACAGGATTTACATTCACATTTATCTGTAGCAAGTATACAGTTTATCATACAACAATAGCCATTGATCCGGGATATCAAAACATGTATTGAGACAGGATTTACATTCACATTTATCTGTAGCAAGTATACAGTTTATCATACAACAATAGCCATTGATCAGGGAATTTAAAACATGTATTGTGTCGCTATGTAACTGGCAGAATTTGATTCGTGCTATAATAAACACTTGTTTCATTATATAATCCTTGATCCTCGCTAAGACTAATAATTCTTAATTCTTGTTATAACACCAAGTAATCCTCACGATAACAGCCCATAATCCATGCTATAACATCTATTAATCATAGCCAGAAGAACCTATAATCCTCACTTCCATACTCCTCTCTATAACATCCATTAATCCTAGCTATAGGAATTCTTAATTCTTGGGATAACAGCCCATAATCCACGCTATAACACCCATTGATCCTCGCCGTTAATCATTACTCTAACAAATATCTCATAATCCTGGTTATAACAGCGCATAATCCTCGCTATAACAGCCATTAATCCTTGCTATAACAGCCATTAATCACTGCTATAACAACAAACAAACAACGACTTATTCCTACAGTGTGTAACAAATGTTCACTGTGACTCCTGGCGTTCAGAACTATTCCTATTGGTGGGACGACGTTTTGTGTTTCTTGGAAAAGCAAATTAATCGAAACAAAAGGTTTTATATTAGCGCTGATCCTAACGATCTGCCTTTAAATCGAAAGTTGAGCAAAAAAGTAGTTTCATCTCAGTGAGTTTGCTTAAGGCATGAAATATCCCTGTACAAACCACAATGTAAAGTTTAAGGTCTACAAGATATAATCAACATACACATTCTTATGTGGGTCCAGTTATTCTGACGTTATAGAGAAACATATGGCCCTCCATCACAACATTTCCCAGGCCATTTTTAAAGCGTAAGGCCATCCAGCAGTGTAAGGCCATCCACTAGTGAAGGCCATCCACCGGCCTAAGGCCATCTTAAGTTTGCACCCCCTCCAGCAGTTTCTGTACCCCCCTGTGATGGACACGACCACTGGGAAAAACTCACCAACCACCGATACAAAAACATTACATTGGTCCTGTAGTTCACATCAAACCCCATCGATTATTCCCCCTTTGATCTATTGATTATCGCCCCTGATTCTCTCCCCTCCCTCCCCGGGCTATGAAAGCGCTACAGACACCTTCGTCCGTCTCAAGTGACGCTGGTAATAAATATTTCCACGACCCCCGACCCCCAAATAAATATTTCCACCACCCCTGACCCCCAAATAAATATTTCTACGACCCCTGACTTCCAAATAAACATCTGTATTCAGCCGTTGGTTCAACCGCAAATAGAATTTTTCCTTCGACACTTTCCATTTCTGTAACACTGTTATTAACAGTAACCACAAAAATAAATATACGTAGCTTCAACCGTCGGTCAAAACGTATTTCTTTATTTAACAGTTTTGTTTTAGTTTTAACATTGCTTTTTGTTGCGGGCAATGTGTTATAGATTATATCAATACTAGACAAATGATTTAAGCGTGTGTTAACAATACTAGACAAATGATTTAAGCATATGTTAACAATACTAGACAAATGATTGAAGCCTATGTTAACAATACTAGACAAATGATTGATGCCTATGTTATCAATACTAGACAAATGATTGAAGCCTATGTTAACAATACTAGACAAATGATTTAAGCATATGTTAACAATACTAGACAAACGAATAAGCCTGTGAGCAAGCCACCTAAAACCAACCTCTAAATATACCCGAACTCTACTTTAACTACACATACATGAGTGTGTTTTGACGGCAGATTAGATGCGTAAAATCTTCGGAATTCTATGACTCTGGCTCTTGTGTTGAATATCCCGACTCTACTAACCCCCCCCCCCCCCCACTCCCCCAAAAAAGAAAAAAAAACAACAAAAAACAAGAAAAAAAAAAAGCCAATACAAAGCTGTGAAGATAACCTAACTTAGAGCGGGCGTTCACAATTAACAGAACCAATCTCTAACCAACAAAAACCATTATGACAGCGATGACAGTTTCAAATCTTGAGGTTTAAAGAAAGATGTACAAAAAGCCATGTTTGATGGCCAGCCGACAAAAAGCCATGTTTGGTGGCCAGCCGACAAAAAGCCATGTTTGGTGGCCAGCCGACAAAAAGCCATGTTTGGTTGCCAGCTGACAAAAAGCCATGTTTGGTGGCCAGCCAACAAAAAGCTATGTTAGGTGGCCAGCCGACAAAAAGCCATGTTTGGTGGCCAGCCGACAAAACGCCATGTTTGGTGGCCAGCCGACAAAATGCCATGTTTGGTGGCCAGCCGACAAAAAGCCATGTTTGGTAGCCAGCCGACAAAATGCCATGTTTGGTGGCCAGCCGACAAAAAGCCATGTTTGGTAGCCAGCCGACAAAATGCCATGTTTGGTGGCCAGCCGACAAAAAGCCATGTTTGGTAGCCAGCCGACAAAATGCCATGTTTGGTGGCCAGCCTACCAAAAGCCATCTCAGCGCCAGCCGATTGTTTTGTCTACTGAGGCGATAAAAATATCAACTTGCTTGAGAATGTCCAATTACCCAGGCATTTTTCTGTTTGTTCATTAAACTAATGAAGCTTGTCCTAATTAACTAAAGTGAAAAATCACACAACTGGTCATTAGGCGGATTAACTCGACAGCGGATTAATTCGTTTAAGCCGAAGAACTGTTCGTTGCGCCGCTTAAGTTTTACGATTGGCCCCCTGTGAAGTGATGGTGGAGGGGGGGGGGGGGGGGGGGGGGAGAGAATTGATGTCGAGGTTACTGGCCAGTTAAAAAAAATAATGAGAAAATAATGTTTACCACGATACAAACTTCCCGTCGATACAAAAGTTCTGTTTTGTTTTCTTGTCATTACCATTTTTATGTTTACGTCGTTATGTAAAAAAAAAAAGTAATCTCGAAGCTAAGCCACGCCACATGTCAGTCACCCAGGTCCCAGTATGATAAAATAAATAACCAATTATATTGAGGAATAAAATAATTTGTGATTGTATCGCAACGAGAATAACAGGGTTTAAATTAAACGGCGTTTTACTATGTTGAACCACAGTGGGCATTCAAAATTAGAATTATTGACAAACTTATATAGTTAATTTTTTTTCAAACTTTCGAGTTGTTTTTCTGACACGGAAAACATTTTTAAGACGAGCGAACGGAAATTCCCACAAATAAAAGGAAAGTACTCGTATCATAATCGGATTTTCCCTATTTAATTGGCTGCTTTGCATGTTCCGAAATGATTTTTGGACATCAAAGAAAGCTGACTAAAGACCTATCGCGTCGTATCAGAGTTGACTGCCGGGGGACGGAAGTGACAGCATGCTTAAATAAAATACTTAAAAAAAAACTTTTTAAAAAACCACGTTTTTCTTGTGGACTAAAAAGTAGAAAATAACTATTTACATACATTTGATGACAAAAAACGTGGGTACGTTCACCATCAAATTTCCCGACCCATCTGCCCGACCCACGTTTTTTGTCATCAAATGTATGTAAATAGTTATTTTCTACTTTTTAGTCCACAAGAAAAACGTGGTTTTTTAAAAAGTTTTTTTTTAAGTATTTTATTTTCTCCTTTTTAGTCCGTTGCTACACATGAAAAACGTGGTTTTTAAAAAAGTGTTTATAAATACACGGACTAAAAAAATCTTGAGCGACCAGGATTCGAACCTGGGTTGTCGCGGCCACAACGCGAAGTACTAACCACTATACGATCACGGCCAGCGCGCTCACATCGATTGGGGCCGAAGTAACTGTGTCTATAGGCCTCCAGTCTTGTCGGTATCTTTAGAAATCATGTCCTCAATTTTATGGTCCTTGGGGCGTAATTAAATTAAGCTAATTACGGTCTCTAATTGCTAGTTTTTATGATTGCATCTGAAATTGTTAGGCGAAAGTAACCTGCATGCCAAATTTCAGAACTATAGAACAATCAGAAGTGGGCTAATTTTCGATGTCAATTTTAACAACAAACACACGCGAAGCTGAGTTAATAAAAACGTGTTAAAATAGAATTACTCTAATCAGGAGGGGGGTGACGCCCATTTCTTGTTTACTTAAGAAGATCACGTGACACTGCTGTCTTTGTTTAGAGTGATCTGTCCCTGTCTTTGTTCTTTTAAATTAGCACATTTCTACTGTGTTGATGGCCCATGGTTACTGTTGCTATGGCCTATGGTTACCGTGGTGCTATGGCCCACGGTTACCGTGGTGCTATGGCCCATGGTTACTGTGGTGCTATGGCCCACGGTTACCGTGGTGCTATGGCCCATGGTTACTGTGGTGCTATGGCCCATGGTTACTGTGGTGCTATGGCCCATGGTTACTGTGGTGCTATGGCCCATGGTTACTGTGGTGCTATGGCCCATGGTTACTGTGGTGCTATGGCCCATGGTTACTGTGGTGCTATGGCCCACGGTTACCGTGGTGCTATGGCCCATGGTTACTGTGGTGCTATGGCCAATGGTTACTGTGATGCTATGGCCCATGGTTACTGTGGTGCTATGGCCCATGGTTACTGTGGTGCTATGGCCCACGGTTACCGTGGTGCTATGGCCCACGGTTACTGTGGTGCTATGGCCAATGGTTACTGTGATGCTATGGCCCATGGTTACTGTGGTGCTATGGCCCATGGTTACTGTGGTGCTATGGCCCATGGTTACTGTGGTGCTTTGGCCAATGGTTACTGTGGTGCTATGGCCAATGGTTACTGTGGTGCTATGGCCCATGGTTACTGTGTTGCTATGGCCCATGGTTACTGTGCTATGGCCCATGGTTACTGTGGTGCTATGGCCCACGGTTACCGTGTTGCTATGGCCCATGGTTACTGTGCTATGGCCCATGGTTACTGTGGTGCTATGGCCCACGGTTACCGTGTTGTTATGGCCCATGGTTACTGTGCTATGGCCCATGGTTACTGTGGTGCTATGGCCCACGGTTACCGTGTTGCTATGGCCCATGGTTACTGTGCTATGGCCCATGGTTACTGTGGTGCTATGGCCCACGGTTACCGTGTTGTTATGGCCCATGGTTACTGTGCTATGGCCCATGGTTACTGTGGTGCTATGGCCCATGGTTACTGTGGTGCTATGGCCCATGGTTACTGTGGTGCTATGGCCCATGGTTACTGTGGTGCTATGGCCCATGGTTACTGTTGCTGTGGTCTACCAAAGACGCGCGGCGGGGAAACTTTAGTATGAAGCAGCGTCGAGAGTGAAGAGTCAGGAGATAAGCTTGACATGACTCCGGCTGACTCCACGAGTCAGGAGCTGAGCCTCCTGAAGATGACCTGCACGCAATTCTCGCGCATCACGCTAGAGCACTCACCCTCGTCACGTGCGTGTCACGCGGTGAGTGACAGTCGATTTGGGGAGGGGGAGGGGACCGTGGTGTCAATCATAGACGCGACGAGGTCATGACCTTTTAGCTGGTCTGGCGTGTAAAGTAGGTCGCTGTTGCGCTGGCTGCGATGGTACGGTGAGTGGATGGGTGTGAGACATCGGGTCTGTAGGGCTTGGTGGTGTAGGGCTTGGTGGTGTAGGGCTTGGTGGTGTAGGGCTTGGTGGTGTAGGGCTTGGTGGTGTAGGGTTTGGTGGTGTGGGGATTGGTGGTGTAGGGTTTGGTGGTGTAGGGCTTGGTGGTGTAGGGCTTGGTGGTGTAGGGCTTGGTGGTGTGGGGCTTGGTGGTGTAGGGTTTGGTGGTGTTGGGCTTGGTGGTGTAGGGCTTGGTGGTGTAGGGCTTGGTGGTGTAGGGCTTGGTGGTGTAGGGCTTGGTGGTGTAGGGCTTGGTGGTGTAGGGCTTGGTGGTGTAGGGTTTGGTGGTGTTGGGCTTGGTGGTGGTAGGACTAGCAAGGGTGGAGTGTGGTAGAAAAATTCATTAACAATGACGGCATAGGTTACGAACCCGCAACTGACGGGATATATATACTCTCCTCTCGACTACACCAACACAAATCAATTTGACATTATTCATTATTTTGTATTATTGTAGACTGAGAGGACTAGCCTAGTGGCTATTTTCTGCTGACAGTAGGCCATTGAGCCAGACAAAAGTCATATAGCAATACAGACGTGTGTGACGTCATATAGCAATATACAGACGTGTGTGACGTCATATAGCAATATACAGACGTGTGTGACGTCATATAGCAATATACAGACGTGTGTGACGTCATATAGCACTATACAGACGTGTGTGACGTCATATAGCACTATACAGACGTGTGTGACGTCATATAGCACTATACAGACGTGTGTGACGTCATATAGCACTATACAGGCGTGTGTGACGTCATATAGCACTATACAGGCGTGTGTGACGTCATATAGCAATATACAGGCGTGTGTGACGTCATATAGCAATATACAGACGTGTGTGACGTCATATAGCACTATACAGACGTGTGTGACGTCATATAGCACTATACAGACGTGTGTGACGTCATATAGCACTATACAGGCGTGTGTGACGTCATATAGCAATATACAGGCGTGTGTGACGTCATATAGCAATATACAGACGTGTGTGACGTCATATAGCAATATACAGACGTGTGTGACGTCATATAGCAATATACAGACGTGTGTGACGTCATATAGCAATATAGAGACGTGTGTGACGTCATATAGCAATATACAGACGTGTGTGACGTCATATAGCACTATACAGACGTGTGTGACGTCATATAGCACTATACAGACGTGTGTGACGTCATATAGCACTATACAGACGTGTGTGACGTCATATAGCACTATACAGGCGTGTGTGACGTCATATAGCACTATACAGGCGTGTGTGACGTCATATAACACTATACAGGCGTGTGTGACGTCATATAGCAATATACAGACGTGTGTGACGTCATATAGCACTATACAGACGTGTGTGACGTCATATAGCACTATACAGACGTGTGTGACGTCATATAGCACTATACAGGCGTGTGTGACGTCATATAGCAATATACAGGCGTGTGTGACGTCATATAGCAATATACAGACGTGTGTGACGTCATATAGCAATATACAGACGTGTGTGACGTCATATAGCAATATACAGACGTGTGTGACGTCATATAGCAATATACAGACGTGTGTGACGTCATATAGCAATATACAGACGTGTGTGACGTCATATAGCAATATACAGACGTGTGTGACGTCATATAGCAATATACAGACGTGTGTGACGTCATATAGCAATATACAGACGTGTGTGACGTCATATAGCAATATACAGACGTATGGCACCGTAACGTACTGGGCCAGACAACTTCATATAGCAATACAGACGTGTTTGGCTTCAAATATAACAAGATAGACTTGTATAGCTGGAAATTAAACAAAAAATAGCTATAGACGGACATTAGATTCTTTAAATAGCCAGCAGGACAACGTTAAAAACGTTGACGAACTCAAGTTCTGTTAACGACTCGACAAACTCGACTGTTAAAATCATCACGAGCCGACATCTGGAATAACTCAAGTTCTGGCTTGAAAATAAAATTGATCTGGAATTTTCTTAACACTGAGCATTAACAGCTGACGTCACAGGACTAGCCAGAGCAGACAACCTTAACGACCTTCACATTGATTGCAACAAACGGTCACCACACTCCCCAGTAGGCCTTGACCTCCAGTATCTAGATTCTACCAAATAATCTTAATATAGACACAAGCAATGGGGAATCGCAATGGCCAATATCTGCTTGGTATCGATATAAATATGACTTTTTCAGCTAACATTTATTTAAACACTTTAATATCAATTTTAGTTTTATAATCATTTTACCCGGTAAGCGACGCTGTATCTATTTTTAATCCAAACTCTGGCTAGAAATAGATTTAACGTACCCAGCAGAGGAGATTATGATTGGATACTTGAGTCCCACCACGAGGCACGCAGATATAGATACTCAGATAATCTGCGTGATTATCTTATCCCAATGGTGGATAAACAAACTAATATGGCTATAGTTATATGGAGGACCTACATGGAGATTTTAAAAAAAAACCACCCCGGCCGTATGCAGGCCTACACGAATATACAAATATAATAGTTGACCAGACTCCTAAAGTAAGAATCGAATATCTTTAAGTATTATTGATCGGTCGACTTAAGAAAGAACAAAATGGAATAATAAATACTTTTAAAATACTAATTGTTTGTAAAACTTAAATATAGAGCTACTATTTTTAAAATTTCCAGATACTTAAATGTGGAAACTAAAACACGTAAAAAGTCTTTTATAATAACAAGCTTAAATATGCACTCAACAGAAGAAATTAAAGGAATCTTCTCTGTTTAGATATGGTAGATCGGCGGGTCTGTGAAATTTACAAATTTGATTTCCTAAGAGACCAACACAGATATAAATAGAGAAGGGTTTTTCCCCTTTATTCTTATCGGTATTATCAAAATCTTTAAAATATTTTTGTACTGTTACAATATTCAATAATAGTTTTTTTTCCTTCTTCGTTCATAATTGTATTGTATGACGCGATTTCCTCAACACAATTAAGTATTACGTGTCAACATGTTATGCGCTATATGACCCGATTACTCCAATTTCAGACTGCTTTTCTTTTTGAATTTGTTTCCATAGCCTTTATCCATCCAAGAAAAAACTACAAAGCAGCAGTTGTTTGATTTTAGAGTTGTCTCTCCTAGATGGTTTGCTGTCCCCAGCTATCGAGTTGTCTCTCCTAGATGGGTTGCTGTCCCCAGCTATCGAGTTGTCTCTCCTAGATGGGTTGCTGTCCCCAGCTATCGAGTTGTCTCTCCTAGATGAGTTGCTGTCCCCAGCTATCGAGTTGTCTCTCCTAGATGAGTTGCTGTCCCCAGCCATCGAGTTGTCTCTCCTAGATGAGTTGCTGTCCCCAGCTAATTAGTTTTTTCTCCTAGATGGGTTGCTGTCCCCAGCTATCGAGTTGTCTCTCCTAGATGGGTTGCTGTCCCCAGCTATCGAGTTGTCTCTCCTAGATGAGTTGCTGTCCCCAGCTAATTAGTTTTTTCTCCTAGATGGGTTGCTGTCCCCAGCTATCGAGTTGTCTCTCCTAGATGGGTTGCTGTCCCCAGCTATCGAGTTGTCTCTCCTAGATGGGTTGCTGTCCCCAGCTATCGAGTTGTCTCTCTTAGATGGGTTGCTGTCCCCAGCTATCGAGTTGTCTCTCCTAGATGGGTTGCTGTCCCCAGCTATCGAGTTGTCTCTCCTAGATGGGTTGCTGTCCCCAGCTATCGAGTTGTCTCTCCTAGATGGGTTGCTGTCCCCAGCTATCGAGTTGTCTCTCCTAGATGGGTTGCTGTCCCCAGCTATCGAGTTGTCTCTCCTAGATGAGTTGCTGTCCCCAGCTAATTAGTTTTTTCTCCTAGATGGGTTGCTGTCCCCAGCTATCGAGTTGTCTCTCCTAGATGGGTTGCTGTCCCCAGCTATCGAGTTGTCTCTCCTAGATGAGTTGCTGTCCCCAGCCATCGAGTTGTCTCTCCTAGATGAGTTGCTGTCCCCAGCTAATTAGTTTTTTCTCCTAGATGGGTTGCTGTCCCCAGCTATCGAGTTGTCTCTCCTAGATGGGTTGCTGTCCCCAGCTATCGAGTTGTCTCTCCTAGATGAGTTGCTGTCCCCAGCTATCGAGTTGTCTCTCCTAGATGAGTTGCTGTCCCCAGCCATCGAGTTGTCTCTCCTAGATGAGTTGCTGTCCCCAGCTATCGAGTTGTCTCTCCTAGATGGGTTGCTGTCCCTAGCTATCGAGTTTTCTATCCTAGATGGGTTGCTGTCCCCAGCCATCGAGTTGTCTCTCCTAGATGAGTTGCTGTCCCCAGCTATCGAGTTGTCTCTCCTAGATGGGTTGCTGTCCCCAGCTATCGAGTTGTCTCTCCTAGATGGGTAGCTGTCCCTAGCTATCGAGTTGTCTCTCCTAGATGGGTTGCTGTCCCCAGCTATCGAGTTGTCTCTCCTAGATGGGTTGCTGTCCCCAGCTATCGAGTTGTCTCTCCTAGATGGGTTGCTGTCCCCAGCTATCGAGTTGTCTCTCCTAGATGGGTTGCTGTCCCCAGCTATCGAGTTGTCTCTCCTAGATGAGTTGCTGTCCCCAGCTAATTAGTTTTTTCTCCTAGATGGGTTGCTGTCCCCAGCTATCGAGTTGTCTCTCCTAGATGGGTTGCTGTCCCCAGCTATCGAGTTGTCTCTCCTAGATGAGTTGCTGTCCCCAGCCATCGAGTTGTCTCTCCTAGATGAGTTGCTGTCCCCAGCTAATTAGTTTTTTCTCCTAGATGGGTTGCTGTCCCCAGCTATCGAGTTGTCTCTCCTAGATGGGTTGCTGTCCCCAGCTATCGAGTTGTCTCTCCTAGATGAGTTGCTGTCCCCAGCTATCGAGTTGTCTCTCCTAGATGAGTTGCTGTCCCCAGCCATCGAGTTGTCTCTCCTAGATGAGTTGCTGTCCCCAGCTATCGAGTTGTCTCTCCTAGATGGGTTGCTGTCCCTAGCTATCGAGTTTTCTCTCCTAGATGGGTTGCTGTCCCCAGCCATCGAGTTGTCTCTCCTAGATGAGTTGCTGTCCCCAGCTATCGAGTTGTCTCTCCTAGATGGGTTGCTGTCCCCAGCTATCGAGTTGTCTCTCCTAGATGGGTAGCTGTCCCTAGCTATCGAGTTGTCTCTCCTAGATGGGTTGTTGTCCCCAGCTATCGAGTTGTCTCTCATTGATGGGTTGCTGTCCCCAGCTATCGAGTTGTCTCTCCTAGATGGGTAGCTGTCCCTAGCTATCGAGTTGTCTCTCCTAGATGGGTTGCTGTCCCAGCCATCGAGTTGTCTCTCATTGATGGGTTGCTGTCCCCAGCTATCGAGTTGTCTCTCCTAGATGGGTTGTTGTCCCCAGCTATCGAGTTGTCTCTCCTAGATGGGTTGTTGTCCCCAGCTATCGAGTTGTCTCTCCTAGATGGGTTGTTGTCCCCAGCTATCGAGTTGTCTCTCCTAGATGGGTAGCTGTCCCCAGCTATCGAGTTGTCTCTCCTAGATGGGTAGCTGTCCCCAGCTATCGAGTTGTCTCTCCTAGATGGGTAGC